CATGGGACTTCAAAGGCATCGCGCAAACGTTCTTTACGCGCTGCGGCAACTTTGATCTTGGTTCATTTGCATAGCGCTGTGTGCGCGTAGCTTTGCCGAGTGATCTCCTTCTCAATAATACCTCCATGCTATAACTGTGCCCGGCTTCAGCCTTTTAAGTCAGAGTTTACACTGATGGATAAAAAAAATTAATTACTGAATTTTACAGCATACCCCACCAACAGTAAATTGAAGTTTGACTTGTTCTAGGTCTGTACTTACTTCATCTAACCCATAAAATACTCTAGCCTTGCCCTTTTTTAATGCCGGTCCAGAACTGAAAGAAGCAGTATTTCAATGTAGATTTTGTTTACTGGAAATGCAAATAATAGGCTAACACATGTAATATTCTATAATTACAAAATTAAAAAAAAAAAAAAAAAAAAAATTTACAGCCAGAATACCGTAGCACGCAAAATGTAGCTTACTATTCCTCTACAAAACAATAACTTAAATGTACATGTGCCTAGTTTGGACAACATGTGTGTTTGTAAAACAAGAGTCAAATACTATTTGCAGATGTTTTGGCAATTGTTGTAGATATAACCTTTTATATTTTCTGTTCTTTTGTAACAATTATTTACTTTGCCAAATTATGGTTTCATTTCAGATGTAAAAACTAACCATGATTTCCAAGTACAATGTTATAACAGCTCCCTTAGGATATTTGTTACATATACCATAGTACATGCTTTTGGGGTTGGTTACTTTAGCCTTGTTTGTTGTGCCAAACAAGTTCTTCAATACTGAATGAACAGTGTGTTTTGTTTAAAAGACACTTTTGACATTTCATCAGTCAAAATACAGGAAAATACCTAAAAAAATCAAACAAAATTTAGATCAAATAAATTAATAGCTTCCATCCAATAAAATAAATCGAAAAAAAAAATAGTTTTCACCACTTTACAAATATTACTACAACATCCATAAATCAAATTAAAACCAGTAAGTTATTTCATCCATTAAAATGAGCTATTTAAAATTTGAATTTGAATTTTTGAGGTACTTTTCTGTATTTTGACTGATAGTACATGTACTAAGCTACAGTAAAACTTGGACCAACCTACATACATGTTTAAAAGTTCTCCAAGTTTTCCATTGATTTTCTTGTTAAAAATTTCTGCTGATTTTGATAGGATAAAACCTTCACCATCCTCATTCTCATATGCTCCAAGTACAACTCCTTTCTTCTGGAAGAAAGAAAACGACGATCAGCTTCAAATGCATGCATTCTAGGACTAGCAAGGTAGGTGCTAGCATCTGATATGCAAACCTAGGTACTCTCCTCTCTCTCTGTCTCTTATTTACACCCCTCCTCTGCAGGAGCAGTGCTACCACTGCCTAGGCCTACCACCACCACACAGTCACAGACAGGCAGCGTAAGGACTAAGGGAACTTACTGTCTTACAGGTCGTCTTATAGGCACCGTACATGTCATACTCATATGCCTACTTGAGACCGAATTAGAGTAGGCCATTTTTAAAACTGCAATGATGCCCTTACCTTTGTGTTTGTACTGCAATTTCGAAAAATACTGATGCTGAAACGGCTCAGAGAGTGACAATTCAACTCTGTTCGGTATCTGCACAACCGTGCTAAGGACGCTGCCATATTGTTATTTTAAAACTGGTTCCCGAGCGAACAGAGGCTAGGCGACAGCGACCCTGGATGATGCATGTAAGCTAAGGTGGCGCTCTTAAAAACGCTTTCACTTTTTGTCAACTGAGAGAAGCTCTGCTCTGACCTTTGATTGATGTAGGGGCCTACTGTTCGTGAACCAGGGGTATTTTACTTGCAGAAAATTGCCACATGAGTTGCTCTCAGCCCAACACAAGATATGTGACCATTTCATGTTGTAATTTGTGCCGAATATGTAATAAATAGGCTAAATCATAATAAATATGCATTTTAGATTCTTGATCCAAGGAAACTAAACACTTTTTCTTGGGCGGATTTAGGGGGCGCCTGCGACCCCCCCCCCACTTATATCACAAAAAAAGGGTTTTTTTTTAGATAATTGAATGGATACACAATTCCATTGAAAGGTTGATTCATATCGCACAATGCATAGCTACAAAGACAGTTTAAGCGCAGATGCACCAGCATGGAATTCGTGCAATCAATCACTCTCTATCGAGGTCAGGTATGTGCTGTCACTGAACCCCACGCACAGTGACCACAGTACACTGATATGTGTGCATATCTCCATTGACGACACCCCTTTAGTAGACTTACTCTTTTAATAAAGTACAGTTTTTGTGTAGACAACATTTGCAGGGGCGGATCAAGAAATGTCCAAAAGGGGGGGGGGGCGGAAGCGGGGGCTGAAAGTTGGGCCGATTGAGACAACACTGTCGTAGGGGGGCTGGGGCATGCCCCCGCGAAATTGTTGTGTTCTAGACGCCCGAACATAACATTTGAGGCATTCTGGGCTATCATT